CCATTCATCGCGATTTGATCTGTACTGTACGATTGTGTCTGAGGAGAGAACGGATCTGGATCGTCCACACGCGTGAAAATAAATCTGGACCGTCCGATCGCGTATAAATAGAAAATGAATCTATACCATTCATCACCAATTTGATCTAGACCGTACGATCGTGTGTGAGGAGGGAACGGATCTAGACCATCCACACGCACGGGATTAAATTCGGATCTGTCCAATCGCGAGCACGCGGATTGCCAGCGTAGTGTTCCGCTTGGCACCGCGTTAGCGTGCCTTGCCACGCAGCGTGCTCTGTTTCGTCGGGGCTGCTGATTAGGCGATCCAACATAGCACATTTTTTCTAAATTGTATTTTGACCTCCAGTTTCTAATTTTTTTTCAAAAATATCACCATAACCTAAATTTTCACTATTTTTTCTAAAATTATTTTCAATTTCATCATCCACTTATTTTTCTTAATTTTTATATTAAATAAAAATTCATAAATTTAAAAATTATATTTTATACATTAATTTTAAATATATTAAAATTAATTACAAGTATTACAACTCCCTCCCTCCCACTCCCTGAAAAGAAATTTGGTCCCTCAAAGTTATCTCTCTCTCACTCAATCAAACAGTTGGGAATACTAGGCTCTGAAGTCTGATTCTAACTCCCATGTAGTCTCTCATTGTTTGTGATTTTACCATAGGACCTTAACGAAAGAAATTTTCCAGTTGCGGAGTACTCTGCTCTTTCGGTCCACAATACTGACCGGTACCTCCTCGTATAACAGATTCTCCTAGAGTGAAAGAGACTTGTGGGCCAAGACATGAGAGATGCCCGGGTTGTACTTGCATAGTATGGACACATAAAACACACTATGGATCCTGAAAAGTTCTAGAGGCAGTATTAGTCTGTAGGAAGCAGTGCCAATTCTATCTAAGATTTCAAATAGCCCAATAAACCAAAAATTTAATTTTTCCTCTTGCCAAACCTACTGATTCCCTTGAACGAAATAACCTTAAGGAACACCCGATCACCTTTTTTAAATTCTAAATCCCTCATCTGGGTATCCGCATATCTCTTCTACCTACTCTGAGTCGTCTAGATGTTCTTCTTGATCTTGGCTGTAGTCTCCTCTACAAGATCTAGACCAAATAATTTTCTATCACCTACCTCTTCCCAACAGATCGGCGATCTGCATGGGGGGCCATACAATGCCTCGTACGGAGCCATGTCGATACTTGTTTAGTAGCTGTTATTGTAGGTGAACTCTATTAGAGATAAATGATCATCCCAATAGCCTCTGAAGTCAAGAACACAAGCTCAGAGCATATCTTCTAGTGTGCGGATCGTCCTTTCTGATTGTCTATCAATTTGAGAGTGGAACACAATACTAAGGGACAGTTTTATTCTCATGGCTTACTAAAAACTATACCAGAATTGAAAAGTAAACCTGGGGTCCTTGTGGATACTACTGTCACTAGCACTTCATGTAACCTGACTATCTCCCGGATATATATTATTGCTAACTTGTCCAAGGAGTCAGTCATCCTGATGGCCAATAAGTGGAAAGACTTGGTGAGCCGGTTAACAATTAGCCAAATGACATCATATTCCGAGCGTGCTATAGGCAATCCTACCATGAAATCCATTGTGATATGTTCCCACTTCTACTTCAAAATTAGTAATGGCTGAAGTAGCCCGTCTGGACGTTGATGCTCTGTCTTGACTTCCTGACATACCAAACACTTGAAAAAAAAGTCAGTCACATCTCTTTTCATCCTGTTCCACCAAAATTGGGGTCACATATTTTAATACATCTTAGTGCTTTCGGGATGCACGACAAACTTTGAGCTATGGGTCTATGTCATGATGTCTTTTTTCAGCTCACTATCACATGAAACACACACCATATCCCGAAATCTAAGCAACTCATCGACAGAGACTCAAAATTCTGAATTAAACTCCCTGTTTCGTATTTTTTTTAGGGTTGCTAGGGTGGAATCAGTGGATTGGGCTTTCTTTATTCTCTAGATCAACTCAAGTTGAACAGTCATGTGGGGTAAACATGTGACTCTCTTCAGGTCTTGAAGTTGTACATATTGTGTGACCCCTATTGCT